TTTCCACTTCTCCTTTAAGCCTTGATAATGTGAGCAGGGGAATTCCCACCTAGGTGATCTGATTGGCATAAGAGCAGGAACATTATCACTCCTTTTAAAATGCGCCAACCCACAGAAGTCTGGGTCTATGGTAAGAGTGTACCATATGAAAACTAGGCTTCTCCTAGATCTCTCTTTGACTGTCTCTTTATGATGACTGGCAAGACTTATTTCCCTTCTTACCTCTAGGCACGCAGTCTCCCAGTCTGTTTTATCAGTGCTCACTGTTTGCTCTCAGATGATTCACTCATCACCTACCTGAAGTTCAGCCTTGATTAGCTACTGAGCTATTTTTCTCCAAGGCAGTGATCAGAAAAATCCCTTCATAGCAGACTTTGGACTAACCATAGAGTTAATAACATAACAGGAAAGTAGAACTGAAAGTGATGTTTGCAGGCTGCAACCACAGAAGCTACCATCTCATGTGTAGATTTTTGTAAAGATACACACAAGAATGTGAATATATACACATGTATAAGCACATACACATATATATCTATGCATATGAAAAAGTACACCAACAGACATGCATGTATAAGCAAATTTTGCTATTTTTCAAATGCTCGCTCAGCCCATATGCCAATACTTTGGTTTATCACCACAAAATAATTGCATATCTAAAGTTTAACCAAAACTCATCTAGACTCCCCTGTACTTAAGCTCCAGCAATACAAGCAAAGGGGAACATGGAAACTTCAAGGCAGAGAAATCACACCTAACTTAATTCCCTCAGAGACGATTTCAGGTTAACACAAGAACCTCTAAAACACAAGAAATCCAGGCACTCAGAATATGACCAGCTGTCTTACTACAAACATGTACCTGCTTGTCTAGACTCCCTCTGTAATTGGTGAGGAGCAAATACAGTAGATCTAGCAGATGCCTCATACTGTAGTAGAGAAATGAACTACCTCTTGCCAGTGTGATTTTCTTCACCCACTAGAAAGGAAGATATTATAGAGCAGTGAGGGGTTCATGGCCTAGTGATTGCA